CATGCATGGCCAAGTTTTGATTCCATGGCATCCAGGCTTGACCCTTGAGGACAAACAGGCCATCAGGATGCTCAACACGTCGTGCAACTTCAGCGTCCCAGCGAGTATAGAGAGCCTGAGAGAACTGCTCCCTGCTCGTGCATGCTCATTGATGCTTGTTCAACGGCCTCATCCTATGCGAAATGGATCTTCAAGCACTTCAAGCCTCTAATATTTTCCAAATCTCCTGTTTCTTCTCGTGGATGAGATCAATATCCTTGGAAAGTTGGCCCCTCAGCGTGCCTGCTTCCGATCTCGCATTCGAGTATCATACTCCTCAAGGAGCTGTCCGGCCTGCAACGAAGACTGAGATAAACCTTTGAGCCAAAAAGGATGGGAATATGATGGAATATGAATATGTTTCAAGACAAGATCCTTTGCTACATGTCGTCGCCTTTCCATACCTTTCCCATAGGTCTTCAACATGCTGTCCTCTGTAATGTTCACCGAATTGTTCAAAACCTCACGCGGCCATAACTGTTCACCCCAGCTTCTGCTTTTGATGCATCTGGGGCCATGCTGGGCCATGCAATTGTTGCAATGTCTGCCGAAACGCCTCTGCTTTGAGGCCATTCTCCGAGAGGATGGCTCTCACCATGAGCTGGGCCGAAAGGAAGTGTTTGGACCCACGTAGGGAGTAAAGTGGATCTGAAAGAGAAAACAGTTGAAGACAGCTCCTCCCATCAGGGACTAACTTAGAGAGGCAAGTGCTTGCTTGCATTAGTGTCTTACTCTTGTTTGTGGCAACGAGACACTATGCAACTGTATTCAGGTGCAAACAGCCCATCAACTAACCACGTCTGTTTGGCTCAAGGGTTGAACGACACCGATTACTGTAGATGCTTCCAAAGGGTCTGCAAACCTACTGTATATATATATATATAAAGTTGCCTTGATGGATCTTGATGCTGTAAAAACATGTAAAAACGATCACCTCATCTTATCATCCCACGAACAGCATGGATGAAGATTTCAAACATCAAATGACCTCAAGACCTCAATGAATTCCGCAGTTCTTCTTACACAAAGCTCCGCAACACCGGCGACACTCACCTCGGTCTGGTGATCTTTCAACTGCTGCTGCCGAGCGAAACGTTCCTGCATGCCGCTGAGAAACCGCATGGGTCTGGATTTCACTCAGAACGTTCATCCATAAACAATTTTGACCTTCGCGTACTACCTTAGCCACCGCAGCCCAGCCCTCATCACAAAGAGTTTTAGTATATGTTTAAATATACAGTCCTTCATTCGCACAGCATCCTCCCCTCGCAATTTGTGGAGTTTTTCCCTGCCGTGGCAAAAGCTGAGATATGCAGCATGGGAGGGTGCACAATCGTCTGTGGTCATTGGAAGCTTTCAGGCTAAAACTAGCAACTACAAGAAGCATCAAGGAATCTGTTCTGTACAGTTGTAAAGACCATAGAGTACTGCCAGTACATGGGTTCTCAATATCCTGATTGTTGTTGACATGGCAAATTCGGTATTGATTATTTTTGTATCGCAAAACATGGAAGAATACTTATTATAATTGACTGTTACAGTATATACTCATACTCATGGCAGCTGAATAAAACCAAATTGTAAAGGATTTCTGTGGGACACAGCTGCAAGAATCTGTCCGTTACATGGTCTGCATCCTACAAGCGCAGTACCTGCATCTCTACACGATTTCATGGTCATCAGTGTGCTGAAGGTAATCGGGCTCACAAACAAATTGGAAAGAACTGCACGGAGGTCACACGGAAAGTGGAAGACATGACAAAGGGGGTCTGCAAAATCCTTCAGTGCATTGCGTTGTCCTTTCTGACACTTCACCTATCATCGTCCACTTGGGATCCTGTTACACAGACCCAAAAAAACGTTACAAAAAAGCATGAAAGTTGAATCTGGCAGTCTAAACAGGGTGGATGGACAGCTTCAGCGCAAATTCTTTGGTCTTCTGAGCTCTCATCATCCTGAGCAAGCCAGTATGGGAGCCACCGTGCAAGTTCAATTATATATATATATATTGCCTATGTATATATGTATATTTTATGTATATATTAATTAACATTACACGTATATATATATATATAGTGAATATTTTGGTTTACGTATCGTCTAGTGATGTCTGTCACAAAACAAGTGCCTGTCGTAATCACTCAGTTCGTGAATGCTCCTATCCCCCGCAATCCCTAGAGGCCATCAAGGCCCTCAAGTGTCTTACACAAGCGACTAACCAGCACTAATGGAATCCCATGGACCGATGCGCCAAGAACCTGTGTGAAAGGCAAGGAGGTACCTGTTTCCTTAATTGAAACATATTGAAACATAATGGCGATGGCCTCCAACCTAATAGCGATGGCCTCTCAATTGCTGTTCATCCTCCATTTTCTTGCGTTTCAATGCCGGGCCATCCCGGCTCTTTTTGGCTCATGGTTTCCCGTCGCCGTGACCTCGGTATGATTCGGCGACGAGTGGTCGACGACGTCGAGAACAACGATTGACCGCGCTTTCGGTGTCTTCTCCTGGCATATCCTGGGAGCTCAGTGCTTTTGGTATCTTATGGTATCTTCACACCAACCACCTGTGTTCCTCATGCTGGACTCATTGTAAAATAAGGGGACCTCCCAAAGACACCCTAAGGGAAATAGACCAAAACCCATTGGTTGGGGATCTCCCTATTGAATACACACCAAATGAGTCTTTGATATTCTGGGCGGTTTCCCAACTGTGTCTTAGAATCTTTTAGCAAATAGACTAGAGCATAGTAAACATGTCGAGAATGGTAAAGCAGCGTGGAAAAGCTAAGTCGCCACGCTTTTCCGGGTAAGGCACTCTCGGTATCAACAACAAGTAACTAACAAGGTCTTGACTTTGACCCAAGTGACGTGTCCACGTGACTGCCAAGCGCACTGAGGCCACCTGTGGAAATTCCGATCTCACACACAACATCACTGAACAACACTCAGAATGCCCAAGTGACGGGCCCATCCGCCACTCCTTCCCGAGAATGATGCCAGCACCGTGTAATAAGAAGTTACATTTGGCCTATCCTCTGCGGATTCCAGACATGCACCAGACCTATCATCTTTGTCAACTAAAACACCGACGGAATCCAAAGGCTTCATGTCTGCGGTTCCTTGACACGACGAAGCCATCGAACCTTCCATTGACATCTTGGTATCCTTAGAGAAACGCAAAGGTGCTGGCGCAACGAACACAGCAGCTTGCTTGATGGACCTCACCATGCCACGACAAAGCTTATAAATTGCGTTTTCGTCAGCACGCAGCTGTGAGAAACAGATTCACCAAACATCTCCAGGTGGCAAATCCCATCAACTGAATTCGACTGATCCGTTGGCATTGACATCCCAACCAACTTGGGCTATGGACATGTTTCCCAAGAAGTGCCTTGTCAGGGGCATGCGTCGACTGGTTGGGTTAACCGGACTCCCTGGTTATAGGAACCGTTTCAGAATGGTCCGCACTTTTGGACAATGCTTTTCAATCCAGCAGCAGGGCTATCCAACCGCTGTCTTTGTTCGCAACTGATTGGGTATCCACACCGACTTGGGTAGTCTTGGGAAGGAGAGCTTCAAGCAGTCAAGCATCTTCTTTAAGAATCTTTAAAACAACTGCCTCTACTCTGCACGTTTTCCGAGCTACACATGAACTGAACAAAACAACAATTTACATGAATTTACCATCAATGATCGCTTTGAGTGGAACTGGGCACCAAGCCTTCGACTTGGGCGGGCCACCTGCAAACTCAGGGAACGGAGAAGCAGGGAGGTCCTGCAACGCGAGGGTTTAAACATGTTTAAGTAAAAACGCCTTAGTGGTCAATGGTCAATAGTCGCAACATACGTATAACTTATATATATATATATAAGTAACGTTTTGCTATATCAGCTTGTAGCGGATTCCGAACTTGCCGGCTTGTCTTTTAGTGCCTCGTTCGCGTGGTTCACGGGCAGTAAGTGGCGCAGCAACACCCACTTCACTTCCCGTACCTGTTGCAGACTTGACAGCTCCTCAAATGTGATCAGCTTTTGAGCATCAAATGTCGACACGAAGACAAGTGACAAGAGACAAAACTCCAGCAGCAGCCAACTAACACCCACCATCTCTGGCAACTACCAGGCCTTGCCGCCCAAGCCTTGTCAGGAACAGAAGGACGCACAAGGAGCAGAATCTTTAAAGCAAAATATGTGCACATGTGCTACTGCTCCAAACCGACAGAGTAGGATTACCTGTTGCATGCTGCATGCCCCTTGCCTGGCACTAAGAGGCTCCATTGCGATTCAGGCTAAACCATCAACAAGTCATAGAGATTATGTATGCCAAGGCTTGACCTCCTTGGTGACAATCACATATGCATATATATATACCGTTGGTTGAATCCAATCTATGTCGGGCCAATTTGCCTCTTTGTTTGCTGGTAGCTTCGAGTGGAAGCATCTGTTGCCAAAACTATTCTTTTTGCTTACCTTACCTTTGGTTCCTCGCAATGGCGGAAACTGCTTTGCGATATCAATGGGCCACCCACTTCCTCAAATCGAGCTATTGGTTCTGAAGCTCACAGGCTAGTAACGGCGCCTACGACGCTATAGCCACATAGCCACGTGTTCACGATTGTTCAACTTTGTCGCAGCAAACAAACTTCGCTGAGAGAATTGACTCATCGTCACTCCAAAACCGCCAGTTGCGACTTACTTGGTGGTAGGGAATCACAGAAGAATCACCGAGGTTGAGGTTGCTGAGATACTTTGGGATCCACCATGATCCAAGACTGCCAGAGAAGGGACTTACAGAAAATTGTCCATTCAAAGCTACTCTATAGCCTTTAAGGGAAGAAACATATGGACACAACAGGACACATGGAAACTCAGGAGCACCAAACTGATTGACTCGTTTTTGCAGTATCAAGCTTGGACATCAGCATCATGCATCTGTGAGCATCGTCATGCCTCATTTTTCACGCTCAAAGAATCCCCAAATCTTCAAAGCTCCGAAGTTTGCGAACGCGGACCTGTCCTGCAGCGCTGCAAGCGCTGGAACTTTTGCCCCCCCGATTCCCACGCTCAGAATGCCTTTGGACATGTTCTGTGTCCTTCCCTCAGTTGGACCTTCTTTAGGCATTGAAGGACCTTCATGTTCTATGTCCTGCTTGTTCTATCTTGTTTCAGATTTCTTGTCCGTCCGGCCGTCCGTCTTCTATCATGTCGTGTCCACTCCTGTCACGGCCGTTGGCCTACGCCTGTGTCCATCCCCAACTGCCTGCCTGCCTGTCTGTTTGTCTACCTCTGTGTGCCAGAAAAGCCGTCGAATTAGTTGTCCTTGTCGGCACTCCATGTCCAGCCTGACATTCAAAAGGGAAAAACAGTGAGCGTCTTTTGTCACCAAGACATGGATCTGCACAAACACACTTAGGAAAATTGCAATTACCAAATCCCCGTTATCGTTTTTCCTATTATCGGTTTTCAAGGGTTTGGAATATATAGTATATGAATGGAAAAATTCTTTTATAGCTGTTCAAGGGTTTGGGGCATGTACGATCAATCGAAGGTAGTCCTGCCCAGGACCTTCCCAAACTGCAAGCAGCTGCAGCACATTTTCACTCGACTCCAGTGTCGAGGAGGTTGTGCTGCTACTGGAGGAGCTGCTCGACATGGGCGGTTCGCCCTGCAATGCGGCCAGTTTTCGCTCCAAGCGCTTGTTGTCCTTCGCTACCTTCATTGCCTTGCGCTCCACTCTCTCGCCAAAAGATCTGATGGGTTTGACTCCCTTAGCTGGAAAATGCCTTGTGACTCGTACTTTTTGCACAGCTGGGTTGTTTCTCCTGGATCTGGTGGCTTCAGCTCCCATGAACGAGGTCCTTCCATGTAGGCTCGCTTCCATGCAATCAGCTCTTCTGATGTCTCACTGTGGATCTCATAGGCACAACTGGCACCATTGTTGCTGACATCTGAAAAAACATTGTTATAGAGGGCTGGTCTACTGTGAGTAGCAGGTGGCTGGATGACAAAAGCATATGATTGTTGATCTGCAAGTCTCCGGGTTCAGGCGCATCGAGGTGCGCTCTTTGTGTACGCCATAGCCAACAATTCAGAAAGTCCATCGAGGTCCCTGCGAGTCGAAGCCAGTGGTTTTTGGCGCATGCGGCAGCGCTATGCCATTGCAGTGTATGGCAGCGTGGTATACACCCATGCCCTTGGAAGCACTGCTCAGTCCCCGAAACTACAGCATTGCTCTTGCATCAACTTGTCCGAGATCCGTGAGCAAACAGCCGAGGCTTCGAATCTAATGCTGGATAGTGCACTGCACCATTCTAGCGTCAGTGCTGCAGGCTCTTTGCTTAGTTTTTCGGATTGTGGGCCTCACTTCAGATCTGGAGCCAATTTGGCGCGTTACATACACGGCAAGCACACTTTCTCCTTCCAGTCCATGCAAATCATGGTTGACTCTTTTGGCAACTGACCTTCGGCCATGCGGAAACTGCTGCTTCCTCCGCTCGGCGGTGACCATATGCCACTCATATGACTTCAGCAAGCTTTTTTGGCCCTTCAACATAACTTCACCTGGTGCTTCTGTGTATGTGAACAGCTCCAGGCGCACAGCGACAGGCAACGCGGCCCTCTTCTCTTGGTGCTGCACACTGTGCCTACTTACGTAGTCAAGCGCAGCAGCAGCTTCTTCGTAGGCACTGTCGCGCGATGCCTCTGCGCCCATTGGTCAAAGTACTGGTATACCCACCAACTTTTCGCGGAGCTCTCGCCACTCTCTACGAAAGCGCGGCGCAACTTGCTACAATGTGTACACACGTCTGTGTTGCGCTGGCCAGGTGTGTATTCCCAAAAACATCTGCCATCATGTTGTGACAGATTCGTTTTAACATACAAGAAAAACGTTGGAAAACAGCTGAGACAAAATCTGTGATCGTCAACAAGCCACGCAAGAACTCACCATGAAGCCACGCCGCTCATGAGGAGGCTGCATACCGGCAATGCAACCTTTTATTTGGTAGAACTTCGGGCGCAACGCAGCCATGAGCAAGTGAAGGAGAAACACTGAGGACCTTCTTTGAATGCTGTCATGCCAGCGGAGGGATGCACAAAGAAATGCAAGACATCTCAGAAAAGGTGCAATGTCATTAATCGTTATCGCGTTTTCTTATTATCGTTGTGTGGTGCTTTTAGGTCCAGCCCTTACTAAATTGCAAGCAGGGGGGTTATTACACATCCCCACATCGAAAACACAGCAGTGAAGTTTCAATCTCCCTACCAAAGTCGTTTCTCTTCCCATACCTATTGTGGCAAACAGTTGATGTCACTTCTTATCACAATAAAAACTAAAAGGGCTCTCACTGCTATCCGGGTTCCTGGCCGTAGTGCCTGTTCAAGCCTCGCAAACGGGGCCAGTGAGACCATTCCATGACCCCACGGTTCGCTTCAGCTGTCAGCTTCAGCTGTCCGATTGTGGTCTCTCTGGTTCTCTGGTTCGCTTCAGCACATGACTTCGCAGGATTGAATATGTTTGCATCTCTTTGGTATATGAAAATCTGAACGAATCACACGCAAAGTGTCACAGCTTCTGCTCTTGTCTCAAGCCTTATCACCATCTCGTTGCGATTCAATGGCCTGTCAGGAACAGTTCCATCCCATATAGGACTCCCCAAAGCATGTTTGCAATGTCGAGTCTACATGAAACATGTTCGATTCATGCTCCTTAAAACAATCCAAATACCCTGAGAGGCCAAGAGATGTGAACGGCAAAGCTCCATGTCACTTCATAGGCAGAAGAATCCACCTGGCAGATTGGGAGCCCACGAACAAAACACGGCGCTCCTCGGCGCGTTTGTCTCCATGGCCTTCTTTAGGCGACGAAGAACTGCCTTGCCAGATGGAACTCACAGAACAGCAAAGGACATCGCTACTAGGTTGGAGGCCATTGCTATTAGAAGGGAAAGCACGTGGTCAAAGCAAGAAAAGACCGTTTCGGCTCAAGGCTGTTCAACCCATATGAGCAAACACCGTTGCATGCAGCCAGAATCATAGTTTCACATTATGGTTAGTTTCTGGTCTCGAGATTGAATTTGCTACTCTGCTACTATGGTCTACTTTGGGCCGTGGGCCTATGCCTAGTAGGGCTCCACACTGTCCCAGCTTCACATCAGTGCTGCCTCGTAGGAGCTGGAGGACTCAATGGCACAGCGCTTGAGGCAGCTGCGCAGGAGTGACTCTTGGCTTTGGAGCTCTGCCTGTGATCAAAGACGACCATGAGCCAAACATAGCTAGACTACCAGGATCGCCAGCTGGTCACAACGGAACTGAATCAATGCGGCCTAGCAGGCGGGCGACTTGAAACCAGCAATGTCTGAAAGCGTCCTATCATCATAAAAGGACTTGAAGCCAGCCCTTCCCAGCTTCAGCCCTACTGCAGCCACCACAGTACGGAAACCCGGCACCTCCGATTCCTCCCTTCGGCAGCGTCGCGTGCGCCTCCCTGCGCGGCCAAATGCACAAAAATGGGTCAAACCACAAACATAAGGTATAGCAACGGCCTCCACCCTACCACAATCAATCAAGTAGACTTTGAGATGTAAATGACTGTAAATGGCCATGGTCGCATCAAATTGACAAAGCCTGCAGTTGCAAAGAGAAACCAGCGACAGCGACGCTTCGACAAAGCCCACCCAAAGTCATGGCGCGCGGAATATGGCAAAGACTCGGGTGAAAAGTGCTGAACAATCCAACTGCCTCGGAAACAGCCTTGGAGGCTGGTGTGGAGAAACATACAGGGGCACACACACTCACACACTCGGGAAATGCGTACTGAACTAGAAGTGCCTAAGAAGCCAGGAGTAAGGTATGTAAAGCGGTCGAGGCCGTGTTATAGCCTCGACTATAACCATGACCTCACCTCCTCGACAACAAAAATCCAGCGCCCCGACAAAAAAAGGACCGCACCCCTCGACAAGGATAGGGGTTATATCGAGTGTGGGGACACACCTTCGAGTGTGTGGTTCTTCAAAGTACTGTTGTGGGTATAACACGGGTTCTTCGTTTGGGTGCAGGGGTTGAAGAGGCTGCCACGGCTGCCCCGATTTTGGTCGCTGCCAGTCACGACGTTTGATCCGGGTCCGCATGGGCCCAGAAGCCCCCGCCTGGCAGGTTCGAGAGTGGCGAGTGGCAGGCAGTCTGAGTGTGGTTCGAGGCAGTTCCGAATGACAGGAAGCAAATTACGGACCACACCACACATAGTCTTTGCCCATTCCAGGCAAACGCTCTCATTTTGCGGCGTTTTGAGGGTATGGGCACTGTTTTGGGGCTGTTTGCCTGGAATCTGA